CTTGTAGCTGCCCTTTCCAATACTGACATTACCCTTTCCTATACAGACACTGATGTTCAAACAGCTGCCTGATGGGTTGGACCAATCTCCCCTCCCAAAGGAAAAAAATTACAAGGACAGAAAGTAAAACTGGTTGTGGTGTTTGGCGGGGTTCAGCTAGAGGATACATGGGTACAGTGGAGAACAGGTCTGCCATTTGGAGGGACCATGACGAGCTGAAGGAATGGGCTGACAGAAGCCTCATGAACAAAGACAGCATCATGTGACAGTCCAGGCTGGGGACTGCCTAGGCAGCAGCTCTGCAGAAAATGATCTGGAGTTCCTGGCTGACAAGTTGAAGATGAGTCAGTAGTGTGCCTTCGCAGGAATGAAGAAGGTTAAACACATGCTGGGCTGTACTAGCTACAGCATACCCAGCAGTTCAGGAAAAGTGTCTCTTCTCAACTCAGCTCCTATGAGGCCACATCAGAAGTATCGTGTTCAGGGTGGTGTACAACACAAGAAACACATCAACCTGAAAGTCCAGTAAAGAACCACTAAGATGGTTAGGAGGCTAAGAATATAACATAGCAAAGAGGCTGAGGCAAATTGGTCATGTGTCGCCATACCCATCATCTTTGAAGATCAGCACAACTCACCTGGCTAAGGCCCTGAGGATCTGATCTATGAAGTTAATCTGCTTTAAGATGTTGGACTAGAGATGACCTCCAGGGTTTCCTTCTGAGCTAATTAGCTCTATGATATACGATAAAAGGAAGCTAGATTGCTCCATTTTAGCAGCCACATGCGCTTCTGTCCAATTGAAGTGACAACAGAAATGCACCCTAAGTTACAAGCCTAGTCTTCCTATGCTTCTACACAACTGAGAGATTTTGGTACCTCAGGAAGATGACTACAAGTGCCTAAGATAAACTATTCCTCTGACTGGCCATCAAAAGGAGTCTGTCTCTTTCCAGTGACTACACAGAAGGAGCAGGTACAAAAGGCTTCTAAGTTGCATGCCCAAGTCACATGCTTAAAGTGACAAAGTAGGGAATCAGCCAGTAAAGCCTGAGAATACCACATACCTAATGGACACAAGGTGAAAGGCAGCTGGCTTATAAGGCTGGAGGTCAAGTTTGTAGGGATACTGGTGGTAGAGACAATCTGGGGTTCATCCCAGAGTATTGACGGAGCTAGTGGGTTTTATGGCAGGACCCCTCTCGATCATCTACCAAAGGTCTTGGGAGTCTGGGGAGGTT